TTATATATATAGTTATATATGGTTATCTATATATATAGTTAAATACATAGTTATATATATAGATATAGTTAAATATAGTTATATAAATATATACAGTTATATATAGATATATATATAGTTATATATATAGTTATATGTATATAGTTATATATATATAGTTATCTATATATATAGTTATATATATATAGTTATATACAGTTTTATATATAGTATATATATAAAGTTATATATGTATGTATATATATATATCGTTATATATATATAGTTATATAGTCGTTATACACATATAGTTATATATAGTTATATATATAGTTATATATATATAGTTATATATATATAGCTATATATATAGTTATATATATAGTTATATATATAGTTATATATATATATTTATATATATAATTATATATATAGTTATAGATATAGTTATATATATAGTTATATACATAGTTATATATATAGTTATATACATAGTGATATATAGTTAAATATAGTTATATGAATATATACAGTTATATATATACTGTAAGGGCCCACCAACTTGAAGCATCGAATGCCTTCATTTTAAGGGCGCAGAAACCTGCCTTAACACATGGCGGACAATGTGATTCTTTCTTATGATGTTGTTGTTCTTGTTGCGAGACAGAGAGGAACAATTTGAGTCACCGTGTCGCAGCCTTTTTGGATTCAGCTTGCGGAGACTGTTGTGCACCACACAGCACATTGAGCATGTCTGATGCAGCAAGTGATGATACTGAACGGCGACGCCATGGTGCAGATGACGCTGCTGCAGCTGGTGGGGGTAGGACGCCTGCTGCGGCAGCCCCACCGGATCCACTTCCACAATTGCGCGCTGAGAGGCAGACGCTGAAGCACCAGCTCAAAGTCGCTACGAAGCAGATAAGGAACGAGGCAGGCCCAGGGTTTGAGGAGCCACTTTCGGGAACCACTTTTAAAGCAGGAACTGGTCTAGAGGACAGTAAGATCAGTAAGAACCACTTAGAACCCAATGAGGTTCGCAGAGGCGATTGGAGTCACAGAACTTGCTTTGGTGTTCTAGGAATTTCTTCTTATGGATCTTAGACTCTAAGAACCTTTTCTTGGTTTGCAGAAGGTCTTAGCAAAATGTTGGTACTTTGAACCTTGTAGAACTAGGCCCCTCCGGACTGGGCCCCTAGAGTTACACCCTAGGGTTGCTCTAGGCAATCATTCCTGTTCCTGTATCTTCTTGCTTTTTAAGTTCGTTAGTTTGGGCGAATCAGAGTTCGTTAGTTTGAGCCACTGTGAAGGAGCGCCGTCGCAAAAATTTGATGAGGAGAGCCGGGAAGCTTTCAGCAGCTGATTTGACCTGGCTTTTGGCCCGTCGGATTGTGCAATGAGAACTTGAAGTTTTTTGCATGTTGACAAAAACCCGCTTAAGGTGGGTGCGTGCAATGACTGACTTGGATGAGCTGTGTCGACCGACATGGCAGACCTGAAACCATTTCACACTTGCCAGCTCGTTTAATCGCTGCAGGCAACGTGTGTGCAGCTGTGGGTTGTTGTTCGAAAAACACCGCTGTCCCGCTACTGGAAGGCATAACATTGGGTGAAAGCATCATATGACAAAATTTGTGTGTGTACCATCAGAGTGTAGCGTGCTTTGTGGCACTCTGAGTATCTGTTCTTATCAGTGCGACAACTGATATGTCTCCAACTGGAGACTTGCTTGTCACATCAATTTTGCTGGGGAAGTGTCTTTCTGAACTTGCTTGGGAGCCTTCATGTGTTGTGCTGGCGTGGCACTGCGCTCAAATCAATTTTAGACCATCATCGCTTTGAACGCTTTTTCCATGGTATGCCGAACTCTGCTCTTCAATGAATGCGGGAGCTGCAGCGACATGCGCTTGGATTCCAGGACATGCTGGGCCAGGGGTTGGTTGAGAAAAAGCTTAGTTGCTTGGAGGTTTTAGCAGGTATCCTGCATGAATAACTTTGCAAGGTCCCCATCGCATCAAAGATCTTGATAATGCAATGTCATGAACAACATTGAATGTGAACCTGTGTGTGTTTTCTAGGTCGCTAATTCCGGGTTGTGAAACATGTGTATGGATCGTCCAGCTCGCTGCTTGAATATATATATGTATGTATATATATTATATATATGGATTGGTTTTATACTATTATATTTAATATATATATATATACCAGTAGTACCGCACAAGGCGGTGGCGGAAGTTTCAGAATAGGAAACCTATAGGAGAGGTTGGTTGTTGTGAATCACGGATGGCAGAGCGAATCCACTGATTGACCGAAAGGTGGTTGGAGTTGTGATTGTTGGAGTGGTTGCAATGGTTGCAGTGGTCACCTCACCCACAACTGCAGGATGTAGTGTGTGGTGTAGTGCAGCTGTAGCTGTAACGTAGTGGAGTTGTAGTTGTGGTGTAGTGTAATTAGTGTAGTGCATTTGCAGTTAAATTGCAGTGTAGTGAAGTGTAGTGTAGTGTGGTGTAATGTAGTGTAATGAAGTGTCATGTACTGTAGTGTAGTGTAGCGTAGTGTAGTGTAGTGTAGTGTGGTGTAGTGGGGTGTAGTGTGGTGTAATTAGTTAAGGTAGTTAAGTGAGTTAAGTTAGTTAAGTTAGTCAGTGTCCACTTTTTCGACTTCTGAACGTCAAAAAGTGGTCCGAACTCTCAGTTTTTTACACTTTTGACTTGGACCTCCAGAGTATTTCGATGTGAACCATCAAAAAGCACTAGATCGTCGAACGCTCTGGTTGCACATCCCTGACAAAGTCTTCGAGACGAAGCACCAGGTGCCGGGTGATAGGGAGTAAAACATCTTCTCTCTTCTGACTTTCTCCCTCTTTGATCTTCTCCATCTCTTATCTTCTCCTCTCTGACTCTTCCCACCTCTGCCTTTCCATCTCTCCATATTGTCGGAAGTTTGACTTCTAAACTTCCTTCGATAATGCGTAGAATACATATCGTATATAGCGTATATATGGAATATATACTTGTGATATATGCAAATAATAAAGTATATTGATCTGGATATATACATTTGGGCACAAAACCAACACTGTTTTGTATACAAAGCCCCCCTAGATCCGGCAGGTTGTCTCGTGGGACAGTCCATGGCTCTCTGTCATGCTGGAGCGCCAACATCACGGACACATACTTGAAAAGCAAGAGACTTGGCCAAGATGCCCGATCATACCCTCAAGAACCAGCAGTAAGGCAGTAAGGTACCTTTATCATCTCTCCTTGGTGTTTGGGGTGGACATCCTGCGTGGGGTTGGTTGAGATCTGTTGGTGCACGGTCCTCGCAACAGAAATCATTCTACTTAGGTGAAATGACTTAGGAATAGTGGGTCGTACCCCAACATGCAATGGCCTATATATTACCGAAGGAAATCAACAATGTGAAGAACCAAAAATCTGTTGTGCAAAATTTGGGTATATGTCGGATTTCCCCAAGAAGTTCTGGGTGTTTGCATTGGAGATCGCGCTCCTTTGGTGTTGAGGTGTTGATTCATGCCCCTGAAAGCTGCAGCGGCGCTGCTTTGAGTGGCCATCTTCATTTGGTGCTTTGCGCGCGGCTGCAGCGGCTGTGCAGACAGGACACGGCGCATGGGTATCCATGTGCCATCATCTAATAGTTGGGTTCTCTCGATCATCTCCCCAGAGGAACCTTGGTGGTTGCATTCAAGTTTAACATTGGGTTGGCTGTGATCCGGCGACGCAATGTCGCAAGATCCTTACAACCAAACGTCATGAAAGCTAGGGGTGCTTTGTTAGACATTAACCTTCATACCATCACCATGATGAACAACATTAAATGATTTGGTGCAGATATCGGTACGTATGACATATCTCCTCAGAAACAACCTTGGGAAAGCCGGAGGCAGTTGCTGGTTCAAATGCCGGACATAGATCCGGCGGTGAGAGGCAGTGCTACTGAAAACCACAAGCATTGAGCGCCATCTCTCAAGGCCGTCAGTTAAATCAACCATGATATATTGGATGAGCCCACCATGGAGCTGGGATATTTTCGTGGCCATCCCAATCTCATTTTTTGTATAACATGCAGAGTACTTGACAACTCTCTGGTAGGAGGACTACTTGGCGCTTTTGTGGTGTCATTTTGCGTGGGAGGGGCAGTGCGTGACGCTGCCTTTGGCTTTTGTTTGTTTGTCTTATTTTTTCGTGGCAGTCAACTCTCTCATATGCTTTACATGGCAGGCGCAATATTTGATGAACCTCTAGTTCCATTTTACGTGGCAGGAGCAGTATTTGGTGAACTTCTACTTCGATTTTTCGTGGCAGGCGCAGTAGCTGGGGAACCTCTAGTTCGATTGTTCGTGGCAAGGGCAATATTTGGTGAACCTCTAGTTCATTTTTTCGAGGCAGGCGTGATAGTTGGACAACCTCAAGTTCCATTTTTTGTGGCAGGCGCAGTATTTGGTGAACTTCTAGGTCCATGTTTTGTGGCGGGCGCAAGGAATCTGAAGCTCCAGGTTGCCAAACGTGTGGGGAAACGCTAAATCGTAACGCCGGATTCCAATGTTACCTTCAATTTCTGGCGACAGCTTCGCAAAAAACCTAAAATCGTAACGTTGGATCGCGGCAAAAAAGGAAATATCGTTAATTCTCTTTGAAACGCGTTCCAACGTTAAATTTTAGGTTTTTCGTGGAACTCTCGCCGAAAACGGATCATAACCTTGGAATCCAACGTTACGATTTGCGTTTTCGCTTAGGAGGTGTTGCAAGTGGGTTCCATTTTTCGTGGCAGGCGCAGTATTTGGTGAACCTCTAGTTCGATTTTTTGTGGCAGGCGCAGTGTTTGGAGAACCTGTAGTTCGATTTTTCGTGGCAAGCGCAGTATTTAGTGAACCTCTAGTTCAGTTTTTTTGTGGCAGGCGCAGTATTTGGTGATTCTTAGGTTTCACATGCAGGAGGGAGAGTGCTAGGTGATTTTACAATGGACATGTGGCATCAACCTCGCCGCTTTTTGGGGCCATGTCAAGCTCTTCTAACTCCGGCTCTGGCAGCTCTGGTTCCTCTGAAGAGGATAAACCATGTGTGACCCTGGAGAACTCTGAGACATCCTCCGAAGCTGAAGTCGCCTCAGCGAAAGCTCGGGCACGGGCAAGGATGTTCACATGGCCGTGTCCACTCCATTTTCATGCAGAGTTGTCAGAGCGCCAATCCGCGAGAGTCCTCAAGCCTGCTGATGTTTCTCGAGAAGACTTCTTGGAAACTTTCAAAACTGTGCTACGTCGCAAGGGCTATCTCCACAACCTCGTTATAGTGGCAGACGAGCCGCACAAGCATTACCAAGCAGATGGGAACGCAAGAGAAAGGCACAAACATTTGATTTTCTTGTTTCGACAACCTTTCGTACATGCTAGTGTCTGCAAGATGTTGGGTGAGCAATTTGGCGCCCACGGGTTTTTTACCTTTCACCGAGCGGGCTGGGTGGCCTACTTGGATTATTTGATGAGCGAGAGTGCAAAGAAGCCGGCCCAGGACTTGGATCGTCAAATGGTGTTTTACCCAGCAGCATACACTTGGCAAAGAGCCGAAGCTGAGCTTGGTCAGATGTCTTTGCAGATGTCAGGCCGACGCCAAAATGATGGCGTGCAGCAGCGCAAAGAACCTGCGCCCAAGCGCCGCAAACAGATGACTTTCAGTGAGCTGACGGACTTTGTCGTTGAGCGCGGTATCCGTGCTGTGGGCGCACTTTGGCAGGCTGGACTCGCGGCACCCAAGTGTCTTTATCACGGATTTTGGATTCTCCGTATCATGCAAGGACTGCTTTCTGCAATAAAAGCAGCCTAACCTTGCCATTGCTGTAATCGGCTGACACTTGTTTCATTCTGGCCCAAAGTTTCACAAAGCATCGAAGTTTCTATTTTTTGGCACCCCATCCTGCAGCCAGGAAGCCAAAGAGGAGAAAAAGGCCGGCAATCCATTGATTTGGAACCATTTGGGGTCCTTGCGAGATGTCAACTCAGAGTTGCAGAAGATCTTGGGTGCGTGGCACCGTCCAGAAACGTTGGGCGCTACAACTCTGGTGTCCACACCCACATTTGCGTTGACCCAATTTGTTTTGCCACCGCCTGTGCAAGAGTGGATGCAAACCGGTTACTCCAAAGTTGCTTTGATTTTGCAAGGCCCGCCCGGAACCGGGAAAACAGAAATGGCCCTCAGCATTCTCTTGAGCTTGTGCCCTGCTGGGGTACATTTCCTGTCAAAATTGGACCAAATCAGGAAGATCACCATCAATGGTGGACAAGGACTACTGGTTGATGAATGCACCTTCCGCAACATTGACATCGACGACGCGAAAGCTTGGACCGACCTTGCCCACCCTCGAGACGTTCGAGCTAGGAATCAAGACGGTCACATTCCCAGTGCTGTGCCGAGGATATTCACAACAAATCATCACATAGGTCAATTTTGGCCTCCAGAGTATTTCGATGTGAACCATCAACAAGCACTAGATCGTCGCACGTCTGGTTGCACATCCCTGACAGAGTCTTCGAGACGAAGCATCAGGTGCCGGGTGATAGGGAGTAAAACATAACGTTGCAAAAGCCCATTCAGGGGAGGCCGAGAGGCCAACGATCCAGTGCAGTCATCCAGTATTTAGGGTGTCTCCCTTGAATGGCCTTACCCAACGTTTTGTCGTTGAGTGCTGTTTTTTGGCCTGGAACGGTTGTGTGCCTCCCTTGAATGGACTTACCCAACGTTTTGTTTTTGAATCGTGGTTTTGCTCTGAATGGTTGCATATTAGAGGTGGTTTCTGCTTCAAACTCCCTTGAACAAATAGCCTGATCCAAGATTTTTAGCCGCATCTTCAGGACGTAGTACCCTATCCTATCCTGTAAACTCCACTCCATCATTGATATGCATACTGGAAAAAGTGGTCCATCTGCTTGCATGCGCAGGCTACAGCTCCAGGTTTCAAAGCGGGTTTGGCCTTGGGTGACAGCAAGGTTGCAGAGCCCAACACGACGCTGCTTTCTACTCCGGCTCCAGACATTGATTCAGTTGCTCAGCTTGACGAGGAAGAGCTCAATGACATGATGGAAGCTTCCAAAGGCTTCTTCGGGGAATGAACGCTGGGGAATAGCTCTTGGATCAAAAAGGCGCTGTGAGGAACTCTGTTTCAGAGGGCCTTTCCCCATTCAGATTTTATTGGCAAGGGTCTGGTGTGTGGCTTATCGCAATCCAACAATGTTTGGGCTACAACTGTGATATGTGTTGATTGCTTGATGGGTTTGCATAGCAGAAATCTGTTTGGACGGTGATTCTGTTGGTGGGGGATTGGTGGGTGTCTTTACACACTCACATGTCATCTGCATTGGCCTTTAAAGCTTGCCACCTTCGAAAAATTTGAGGCTAAGATTGACACACCTTGGTTGGCAGGTTTAGCGTTCATGGCACCAAAACTTTTTGGAACATGGGTGATGCTCCTGCACGGGGATGTCCAAACCAATGAGATTTGCTCCAATTCAGGAGCCGGCGGCCGCTGGAATTTACACGGACAAAAAATGAGCCCATTTTTGGACCTGCCGTCCAGCTTCCCAGCCATGGGCCCCGCTTGTACATATAGATAGATATATAGTTATATATATATATAGTCATATGTATATAGTTATATATATATATAGAGGTATATATATAGTTAAATATATAGTTATATACATTTTTAAATATACTATATATATAAAATTATATATGTATGTATATATATCGTTATATATATATAGTTATATATATAGTTATATATATAGTTATATTTATAGTTATATATATAGTTATATACATAGTTATATACAGTTAAAAATAGTTATATAAATATATATATATTTGTAAATATATATATATAGATATAGTTATATATATCTAGTTATATACATATAGTTATATATATATAGTTGTATACATATAGTTATAAATATTTAGTTACATATAGAGTTATATATATAGATATATATATAGTTGTATATATAGTTATATATATATACATCTATAGCTATATATATATAGTTATATGTATAGCTGTGTATATATACATAGGTTTTATATATAGTTATGTATATATATAGTAAATATGTATATATATAGAGATATATAAATAGTTATATCATTAGATATAGTTATATATAGTTATATATAGTTAAATATTGTTATATATAGTTAAATATTGTTATTTATAGTTATATATAGTTATATATAGTTATATACATAGTTATATATATAGTGATATATATATAGTTATATATATAGTTAAATATATAGTTATATATATAGTTAAATATATAGGTATATAAATAGTATATATATATTTATAGTTGTATATATGGTAATATATATAGTTATATATATATAGTTATATATATGGTTATATACAGAGTTATATATATATGGTTGTATATATATAGTTATATATATATATAGTTATATATAGTTATATATAGTTATATATTGTTATTTATAGTTATATATAGTTATATATAGTTATATATAGTTATATATAGTTATATATAGTTATATATAGTTATATATAGTTATTTATAGTTATATATAGTTATATATAGTTATATATAGTTATATATAGTTATATTTAGTTATATATAGTTATATATAGTTATATATAGTGATATATATGTATATATAGTGATATATATGTATATATAGTTATATATAGTTATATATAGTTATATATAGTTATATATAGTTATATATAATTCTATTTAGTTATATATATATACAGGTATATATGTAGTTATAGATAAATATATATACAGTTATATATGTATAGTGAAATATAGTTATGTATATATAGCTGCATATATATATAGTTATATACATGCATAGTTATATATATATTGTTATATATATTTATTAGTTATATATATTGTTATATATATATAGTTATATATATTTAATTATATATATAGTTAAATATATTTAGTTGTATATAAGTATATATATATATATTTACATAGTAATATATATATAGTTATATCTATAGTTTTATATATATAGTTATATATATAACTATATATAGTTACATATGTATAGTTGCATATATTAATGGTTATATATAGTTATATATATATAGTTATATATACATAGTTATTTATATAGAGTTATTATGTATATATATATACAGTTATATAATATATATATATATTATAACTGTATACACATGATTTTAAGTCATATGCACATCCATACGGTTGGCAGGAGTTGGAAAATTGCAGAACAGTTTTTGCACATGATCTGCAATGTCTTTTGACGTCTGCGTACAGTTCCAACCAGACGTAACTTCACAAGTTGCAACCACCTTGCCATTTGATGAAAGACATGTCCGGGACGATTTCGCCCCCTAGCACTTTTTGTACCATAATTTCTTCTTTTCTCAGCTATTTGATCCTACATCCCTTGCTTGCAGATTATCGACATCGTCCTTGTGTCTGTGCCATGGCTGCTAGATGTCCACTGCAGATTTCTTGGCAGCATCTTCACCCATTTGTTGCTTGCTGTTGTATTACTCACCGATGACACCATGGACGTCGGGTTGGCCTCATGCATTTGGAACATCAAATTCAGACCTTTGTTGTCCAGCCGCAGGTAGCCCGTCATTTCACAGTTTGGGAGTTTGGGCCACACCAGTTTGGCTTTGCAAGTGTGAGCTGCTAGGGAATCAAGAATCCAAGTGTGTGCACCCTACTAACGGAATTGTGCTGTTTAAAGATTGATGTGGTTCTAAAGCTCTGTCAGAACAGTCTTAGCGATTTTGCGCAATTACGAGGTGCTCGTTTTGCTGCTGCTCTACTTCATTTGGGTGGTTTGGTCACAATGTCAGGTGCGTATGAGAAGATGCGGACCGTAATTTGTGAAGACATGAAGACATGCGAACAACGAAGTATATAGTTTGAGTTTGAGCTCCTTCTTTCTGGGCAAAGACACCCAAGAGAGCCGTTTTGAAATTTGCCCTGTGAGGACTTTGCATTAGGTGGACATACGAAATTTTCAGACCTAGAGGACTTTGGGGCCAAGAGATGTGGTGTGGAGTGCAAATCGTGAGATTCCGTTGAAGCCTTTCCAACTGTTGGGCAATCACTTGTGCAATCTAGTTCACTTCACCAAACTCTACTCTCATTGATGAACTTTGTCGTTTGTGAATCGCCTTTGTTGCAGCCGCCTGAAGAGGAGAGTTACGGCAGCCTGCAAACCAAGAGACTCTTGGAGGCACGATAACATATCATAGGATAGCACAATCCATGGTCCCACAAAGGGACACCCACTTTGAAGAGTTTTGACGCCTGATTTAGATTGTCGAACAATGTTGAACAAGGCAAGACCGATGAAAGCAATTGAATGATGATTGCTGCCGAGTCTTTGTGAGCTTCAAACTGTTCCCATTCTTTTTCCATCACCATACTTTGCGATTCATATTCAGCGATGGAGGCGTCTCACAACACTCTTCAGTCCTTCGAGGACGAGCTCTGAACTCAGCCAATCCCCATCTCAGCCACTGAACTCTCAAGGCATTGCAGGTCGCTGCAAGGTGCTGAGAGGTGCTGCGAGGTCGTCTCGTCCAAAAGGAGACCAAGATCAGCTTAGATCAGCTTGTGAAACATTTGGATTTGTTTGGATCTTGGATCCGCACTGAGGGGCTTGGGTGCCACTTTCTCGAGCTTTTCTGGTGCTCATGGCGGTGCTGGCGGTGCTGGCGGTGCTGATGGTGGCGGTCCAGTGTCTGGATTTGGCCAGAGCCCGAGAACCAAAAGGAAGTCCGACCCAGGAAAGCACCAGGAAAGAAAAGGAAGAGGAACAAATCCCTAAAATTCTAAAGAAAAGGAAAAAAAAGATGACAGTTGTGGTGGACCGATCCGACGGATCCGACGGATCCGATCCGACCAATCTCTCTTGAGTTGTGACTCTGTGACTCGAAAGAGAGTAGCACTTGCACTTGACATGTTTGTATTTTTCATTGGGGATTTCTCAAAGGGCTAAATGCTTCAAACGTGCAAAGCTACAGATTCTCAAGTTTTTTAGACAGCAAGCGTCTAGTTCCACGTGTTCCACGGCCTACATCTCCAAAGTTTTTCTCCCAAGGACAAAGCACCAAACTCTTTGGATTCATGCATGCCCAAGCCTCAGTCTTCGGGAACACCACACATCTCAAAACGGGTGTGGTTACAGAGTGCCCCTCAGGATTTCAACCAAGGGAAGCTGTATGGCATGTTGAGGGTCAAGACAGTCAAGACGGTCAAGAATCAATGTCTGCTCGGTTTTGCTCATGTTTGCTCGTTGGAAATTTGGAAACAGGTTCAACAAAAACCTCCCGCTAAACGCTGCACCTAGGAGCTCCGCTTCCCACCTCCAAGCTAACACGGCAGCAGCAGGAAAAACTCGGACAGAACCTGTCTTGGCCACTGGCTGTGCGGTGTGGTGGGGCTTCAAGCAAAATACATTCAATCATATTCAATCATATTCACTCCAATCTATTTTCAATCTAATCTATCTCCCTGCATCCATTTTGGTTCCAGCAAGGGAAAGTCCAAAACACCAAAATTTCTTTGCCAGCTGACACTGCGCGGGCTTCAAAGTAGCTTCATGACATCCTCAGTGTAGGATTGAACACACTGAATGCTCCCACCCACACATACTATATATACATATACATATATATATACATACACCGTACACATATCCCCACGTTAGTCCAACTCCAACAGAGCCTGGCAGCATACAGCAGATCCTAATAGCCAATACAGCAGTCAATACCTTGTCAATACCTTGTTGCAGTGGGCCAACAGTGGGCTGCACAGCCCTGGTGAAACACCTAAGCTGTGCTAAGCTGTGTGATTCGTGGTCGATTCGTGGTCGATTCGTGGTCGATTCATGGTGATCGTTCAGAGTTATGAACCGAGTCCTTGGAATGAAAGTGCTCCAGGAGCTCCGTGGGGTGGACAGTCCACCATTTGGGACGCGTGTCGAGATCTGATGCTGGCGGAGAAGGGTCGCTACGACCAACCGCTTCATTTGAAGACTCGACGCATGCATTTCGAGCTGCCACAGAATAGTGACCGGCCAGGCATCCGAGATCCCCCACGGAGTGCGACGCTGAGGCGCATGCCACAGTGGCCAGCACCAACCTTTGATAGCTCAGCTTACAAAAACTTGCAGAAGCTGGGGCCTGAGCCTATTCCACCTCTGCCAACAGCGTATGGACGCTTGGATGGTGATGAAACATCGCTACCCAAAGCAAGTGGGCCTCCATCAAGTCGAGAAGGTCGAGAAGGTCGAGAAGGTCGAGAGGAGGAGAAATCGGATTTACCTTTGGAATTGAAGTGGCCTGGAGTGCATCGTGTGGCGTGGGGTGATAAACCGGAGGTCGGATCGCAGGCAAACTCGTCAAGCCCTCGCTATGCGCCCTTCCGCTACGGTGCTGCGATCGTGCGGCAACAGCGTGGGATACATGGGATGGCGGGGAATGGACCTCCAAGTTCAAGAGGATCCTCACGGTTGCAACGCTCAGCCTCACAGCAGGCCTCACAGCAGTCCCAATCACATTCTCAGCAGACTCAGCAGACTCAGCAGCAGTCGCAGAATTCGCATCCTTCGCACCCTTCTCGGTCACTGTCGCATCCAAGCGGAAAGAACTCCAGATCGATTTCAGGGTCAGGACCCAAAGGGTCTGACTCCAGGTCACGAGATGTCGACGTGCCACCCATTGAACTCATACCTCCCTACTACATGACACAGAATACCAAGAATACACAGAGGGGTGAGAGCAAGAATTCAGCAAGAATGCAGCAGAAGGCATTTGAGCACATCGCAGCTTTGAGCAACGTATGACTTGAGAAGTGACCAGATGTTGTCGCCGTGCAAAGTTTTAAACGGCTATAGCTGATGGTGCTTGAGCTGTAAATCGTGCACTCAAGCAGAAAGAAACATGGAAGTGATGAATTTTCATGTGCCGGCAGGATCCCCGCAGGCTTTTGATTTTTGCCGTTGTGACCAAAGGATCCGACGGGACATCTCACTAAAGTTCGAGTCCTGGACCGGTTAGTCGGTTAGTCACCCTCAAAGAGGGGAAACCAAAGCCAAATCAAGAGCAAAGCAAAACAGGTCTCTCGAAGGACTTCAACTTTCACATTGTACACATTGTACACATTGTACACATTGTACACATTGCACATAGATTGCACGGTGCGTATTTTAGACATGCCTGTAATTGCATTCATTCATAAGCTACAAACAGACACACTCATACACTGTGTTGTTTCTGTCTTTATTCCTTGAGCAGATTCGGACCTCTAAAAAAGATCAGCCGTATCAGAGGCTCACACCATGCACAGAGCAAAGGCAAGAATCTGAACATACATAGATTATATAGTAATGATATGTTGAGATCCTTTGTCATTTGCAAAGGGATTATTTTTGGAAAGTTTGAAATTCCTGGTGCGTGTGTCCCAGTGCCAGTGAATGCTTTACCTGTCTGTCCGCAGTTGTTTTACCGCGACGGAGCCGGCCGCAGATGGTGACACAATTGACAAATTCAGACACAGCCAACAGTGAGAATTCAGAAGCAAATTCAGAAGCAAATTCTTCGGACGCTACAGAGGACACTTTGGGAATTCTTTGGCCATGGAACCTGCCTCTCGCATCACAAGGTTTGGGACGTCAGCTCAGGACTCTAATGGCATTGGCTACGCCGGCTACGCAAGTTTGCTTCCAAATATATAAACGGACATGTTGTGATCGAATGATCGTCCATTGTGAAGTGGACGATTTATGCAGATTTCTCCATTTTGAACACCAGTTTTATTTGCAGCTTTGCAAGGCTTCTTGGCCAGCTAAGACCGGGCTTACGTGAAAAAGCTTGGGCACCCAGTCTTTGGGCTACTTGGGTTCACTTTCTGCTCAACATTTACCAGCTGAACGGCTGCGGAAAACAGTAGCGGAAAGAGTCAGACAAACAGTTGTTCTGTCAAAGTTCACAAACAGGTACGTACAAAGATGAATTCAATGAAAAGGCAAGCCGGGTCAAATGTGTATTAAGAATATTAAGATTCATGCCTGTTGTATCCTGTTGTTCATTTGTGTCTTGACCTCTGAATTTTGATTGCTTTGTTTGGTCCGAGGCGGTGCAGGCCCAAGCAATTAGCTCAAGGCCCATTCGACACGAGCTTGAAACCGTTGAATGGCCTGAATCGCCTGAATGGCTTAAATGATCAGAAGGAGCCATCAAAATGCCATGAACGCATCGAATAATATCGAAATAGTATCGAACAAATATCAAAGAGTTGAGTGAATGTGACAAAAAAGACATTGCTAGAGAGGAGTTGTACATGTCGGATGGTTCAATCTGCTCAGTCGTGAACTCGATGAATCTTAGCAAGCAGGCCGCCAGGCCATGCCAGGCCATGCCAGGCCTTTTGAAATTCTGTGCATCAGATAGCATCCTGCTGTGATTCCGCAGCCCCCTTTTTTCCGACGAGATCTGACACAGTGACACCCATCTGACCCTGACCATCCCTGACCATGGCTCGTGGTTCACTTCTGCCGCTCTTGGCAGTTGCCACTTTGGTGGCGCTTGCCACGCAACTGCTCGACACCGTCTTCGTGGGCAGCGTGGGAAGCCAGGCCAGGACGTCCTTGGTGCCTCGTTCTGTGGGGGTAGACTACCTCCTGCGCAACGGGCCCAAAGATGCGGACCCTCCGTTGATCAACACGGCTAGTGCTGCTGGCCCATCTCATGAGGTCCGCAGCAAAAATAATCAGAGCTATTGCATGCTATTGCAACTATTTGGCCACACTGGTTGGCCTTGATACTACATCTATCTACATCTTCATTTGCATCATTTCAATGTCTATATGCATCTATATGCTATCTAGGCTATCTATATGATACCTCATATCATATCGGATCTATACGTCTCTGTCTTTGTGTATCTCAGTATCTCCGTTTCTTATTTCTCGCAGATGAGTTTGACTTGCTGTTTCAAGCCGTAATAATATATATATAATATTATATAATATAATATAATATAATATGATATAATATAATATAGTATGATATATAATCAAATATCCTCAGATTCAGCCTGTGCGCTGTGCGCGGCTGAGCCAGGTGACCTTCAAGAAACGTCCCTTTGGCATTGCACGCTATGCCCCGGGCTCCACCGGCACTGGAGCCGTGGTCATGGAAGTGACCCCAAAGTCGCGATACCCCGGTGATCCACAGGGTCAGGCCTTTGTTGCTGGCGTTCAGCCAGGTTGGGTGGTGAAGGCTGTGAACGGCCAGGATGTGACCGGTGTACCCTTCGAGAGCATCATGGAATCCCTGGATGATGAGGTCCTTGACCCTGTGGCCGCTCTGTCCTTGAACCTTAAGGAATCTGGCACTGTGACCAACTTCGATTCGTCAACTCAGGCAGACAAGTCCTACGGAGCAGTTGGTGAAAGCACCTTTCAGTTCGGAGGTGGTCAGAAGGCACGAGGAGTTTTCACCAATCTGATCTTTTGCAAACAGAGAGGAGTTTGTTAATAGATTGTCAATAGATCGCATTTTCTCAGGGTTTTACTCATGTGAAACAGTGCTAAAACTGACCATAGAATGATTATGATTATAATTTAATGATATTCAATGTCACTGTAGTGATTTTGGAAAGAATCAAGGCAGAGCTGCCCATCACCGTCACCTACGTGGAGCAGCGCTAATTGCAACATGATCCAATCCGGATGGCACCGTGGCCTGAGAGATCTGAGACTTATCGTGGTTATCGGGTCGTGCCGTCGTGCCGTCGTGCCGTCGTGCCGGTCCAATGTCCTGAATCTCAGTCTGTCGTATGTGTCGTATCTCAAACCAATGAGGCTCCAAGCTTTTGACTTGCCGCTTTTCCGCACAAAAAGACCAGATAAAGACCAGACAAGTCTGTCCGGACTCTTAAGTGATTCAAGTATATTCAAGTCCAGTCTCCAGTGTGACAAGTCAAGTGCTGCGAGTTGTCCTTGTGCCGAGATGTGCCAAGCATCTGACGATTCTGACACTCTGATGATTCTGACGCTGGCCGGTGCCAGGGCTTTCAGCACCCGACGACCTCAATTGCAGCAGTTGCCCTTTTCAAAGGCGTCGTGGATGTGGGATTGAATAAGAACTAATAAGAACTAATAAGAACTAATAAGAGGGATAGGGGATTCGGATTGATTCGGTATGATAGGTTAGTTTTTGTGCCTTGTAGGTAGTTTGGCGGTTGGCACACTGTCAATGTCAATGCTGTCCACGTATGAGGTTGTGGCATGCAGCAGCATGTCTCAGCGGGTTATCATTAATCAAAATGTCATAATTGTTGCCCGGGACAAAGTGAGTGATGCAGATCCAGCACTGCACCTTGCGGCGCCAGGTGCTCATTGCAAACCGTGGTGAGATCGCTGTGCGTGTTGCACGCGTTCAGAACTCGATTTGACCATGCTACCACTGGAAGTGAAAGGACTTGAAAAGGTAGAGCCTCTTCGAGAGCCTCTTCGCCTGCTTTCCAAGGCTTGTCACGAAGAGGGTCTCAAAACAGTGGAGACCTCAGATCGCAGAAGCAGAGTCCATGAGAGTCTGTGCCTTTCTGCATTTCCAAATTCCAGCGAGATGATCGAGATGTGGCGAGTGCAAGTCATCTGTCCGTGTACCACATTGTTTTCCACATTCTTTTCATTTCTTTTCCACAGCTGTGCGTGGCACACGTGGCACACGTGGCATACGTGGCACACGTGGCATACGTGGCACGAGGTTGGGATCTATGCCGAGGAGGACAAAGGCAGTTTGCACGTGCAGCGAGTCACGGAGGCTTTGAAGGCGCCTTGACAGGGCAGGGAATACGGGGGAATACAACATGGATAGAGAACCATAGAGAACCCACAACCAATGACAGTCATGAAATAACCATGACAATCATGACATGATGATACCGTACGATACATTCGGTGAATTTTATGAAGTTGATGTTTTGACAAATGCAAAGCTATGCAAAGCCATGCAAAACTTATCAGAAGGCTGATCATGTTTTGGTGATGTCCATTGTCCATTGTCCATCCATTGATGTCTGAGCCAGGTGACCTCCACAAAGCCTGGGCCGATTGCACCTTACCTTGATGTGCAGAGCGTGGTTGAAGCTGCTAAGCCCGGCGTCCCGTTTTTTTTTACATTTTCTGGAAGATGCGTTGGAAGATGCTAGATGTTAGAAGCATTTAGAAGCCTTTCATAAAATGTTCATCTGGTGACCGGAACAAGCACACCCTGCCCGGGCGCAACCAGGAGCAGTGGGGCAGAAGCTGTCCACCCCGGCTACGGCTTTCTGTCTGAAAGTGCCGACTTTGCAGCGGCCTGCGAGGTGCACTCACTCCAGAGTTGTTCGCTTGTTTTGTTGACGATTCTTGTAATTTGTTTGAATAGTCCCAAGGTGGCAACACTCTCGCATTTTTGATGTGGCAGAAAATGTTGCCGAAGTTGTGCCCCACGTCGTTGCGATCTGCTTGTGATCCTGATAGTTCCGGGCGAGGCAGCTGGCATCAGATTCATCGGTCCACGACCTGAAACCATTGCTCTCCTTGGAGACAAGGTGCCACAATTGTCACAGGCATGAAACGTGGAAAACGCGGACATTGTAAACATGTGCAGACTGGGCAAATGGTGAGAGTTTAGTGGGTCCACAATCTGCACCTCGCAGACCATCTCCCCAAAAGATTCCAACCTTTTCAACCTCGTGAAAGGTCAGACCTCGAGACCCTGAACCCAAGTGTTGAGCTAGACCTTTGATGGATCAAAATTGGCCGCACTTGGGAACAAGTGAAACCCACTAATAAAGAATTAATCAGAGACTAGGTTGTAAGCAATGTTAGTTGGTGCAGTGTGGCTGGCCATTAATAACGTAACCACTTAAGGAATTCAACCAGCATCGATGGTGATAGTGATAGCCAAGAAGTTACGGAATGTCACCGCTTCAGGAAGGGGATATGCCCATACGGACCAAATGGATCCAAATGGGACATAAAAATAAAAACAACATAAAACAACATAAAACAACTGGATTGTTCGAAAGAGTCTGTAAGTGCATCGTTTGTGCATCGTTGCAAGGTGAAGGCTCGTGAGCTGGCGATGTCCAGCGATGTGCCGGTCTGGGACTTGGAGCGTGGGCGGCTGACGGCTGACGTCGCCGGACCTGGGCGAAGGAAACCTCGAAACTGCGAAGGAATTCGGGGACTTACAGCGAACTCAGCCAGCTCGCCTCTGGGAATTTCATGAAAACAGCATAAGAAATATATTAAGAAATATATTAAGAAATATATTAAGAAATATATTAAGAAATATATTAAGAAATATATTAAGAAATATATTAAGAAATATATTAAGAAATATATTAAGAAATATATTAAGAAACATATGAAGAAATATATTAAGAAATATATTAAGAAATATATTAAGAAATATATTAAGAAATATATTAAGAAATATATTAAGAAATATATTAAGAAATATATTAAGAAATATATTAAGAAATATATTAAGAAATATATTAAGAAATATATTATATTAAGAAATATATTAAGAAATATATTAAGAAACATATTAAGAAATATATTAAGAACTATATTAAGAAATATATTAAGAAATATATTAAGAAATATATTACGAAATATATTAAGAAATATATTATGAAATATATTAAGAAATATATTAAGAAATATATTAAGAAATATATTAAGAACTATATTAAGAAATATATTAAGAAATATCTTAAGACATATAATAAGAAATATATTAAGAAATATATTAAGAAATACATTAAGAAATATATTAAGACATATATTAAGAAATATATTAAGAAATATATTAAGAAATATATTAAGAAATATATTAAGAAATATATTAAGAAATATATAGAAATGTTATGAAATGTTTTCTTTTTTTAAAACCATGAAGATCAGTGAAGCATTGTCCACTGCTGGATACAGATTGAATCGCGTCATGGAGGTCTTGAAAGGATCGCCATTCCTGGGCTCATGGATGGCTGCCAGAGAATTCTTGGAACGCCAGGGGATCCCAGCGTCCAGATGCGTCCAGATGCGTCCAGATTCTTCTCGATTCTGCTGAAGTGCTTTCATCGCAACGAGTCGTTACGAGGTGAAAATCTGCCTTTGCCCATCATTTTCAAGGCTGCCTTTGGTGGAGGTGGCCGTGGTATGCGAAACTTGGTCCAGACTCTGACTCACCTGGAAAGTTTCTCAAAAAACTGCTGCTGAGGCTGCTTACGGCTTTGTGTTGCTGTGGCCAACGTCAAGTTTTTGTGATTTCTTGCAGAGTCCAAACAATTCCAAACACACATCTGACATGAATCTCACATCCCAGATCGTACAGCTTCAGAAGGGACAAAGAATCAAGCGAATCAAACATAATTCTCACACTTCAAAATAGTAATTCTTGCCGTTCGTTTTTTGTTGGGACAAACTTCTGTGGGTCGCTTGCCAGTTCGGATTTGCCGAGGACTCGTGCGGCAAGATGATGAACTCAATGAAGCCTTTGAGCTGAGACCTAAGTTTCGTAAGTGTCTCGTAAGTTTCGTGCTTCTTGTCACATCTTCCCTCGGTCGAGAAAACGCTGAGGCGTTGCACCAGCGAGGCCAAGACTGCCTTTGGTGACGGCTCAGTATCAAGCTGAGACTGTCTCAACATCCCAACATCAAAAGCATGCAAAAAGCATGCAAAAAGCATGCACAAAGCATTCAAAAGCCTCATATTCTTGCCAGCCGACAAATGAAGGTGATTACTCAAACAGCGCTTCTATTTCAAACGAAGAGGGGCGCTCAGGTTTTCTTGGAAGAGTTCCTTGACAACGCGAGGCACATTGAGGCTCGTTGCCATTCTGTGAGAAATTTTCGAAGACTTGTGGCAGTGCATTGTCTTCCACGGGAGCACAGTTTTGATTTGAGAATGTCAATGAGTGGGCATAAACTTTGCTTTGTAGATTGTAGACATGATCGACTTGTTCCGTGTTGCGTGGTCCTAGAAGGCCACATCCAAGTTGCCACAGTGTGCCACAGGTCCAAGTTCTTGCAGATGGACAAGGGGGCTGTGCTCATCTTTTTGAGCGTGATTGCAGTGTGCAACTGCGAAATCAGAAGGTACAAGCACTCAGCAGATTGCAGAGTTGACGGATCGCACTACAGAAAGTATGTTTCTTTATTCCCCAACAGCATAAGCTAATGGGGTCTTCAGCCCAGAATAGCTCCGGTGTGCGCTGGTGCAGGCGCCGGGTCAGGTTCAACGAGGTTCCGGAGAAGGTTCCGAAGAAGGTTCCGAAGAAGGTTCCAGGAAGCCTTGGTGCAAAGCCAAGTCAGGTCCAACAGGGTTCCGGAGAAGGTTCCGGAGAAGGTTCCGGAGAAGTTCCGGGGAAGGTTCCGGAGAAGGTCGGAGAGGCTTTGGTGCAGAGCCAGGTCAGGTTCAACAAGGTACCGGAGAAGGTTCTGGAGAAGGTTCCGGAGAAGGTCTGGGAGGCTTTGGTGCAGAGCTAGGTCGGGTTCAACAGGGTTCCGGAGAAGGTTCCGGAGAAGGTCTGGGAGACTTTGGTGCAGAGCCAGGTCAGGTTCAACAGGGTTCCGGAGAAGGTTCCAGAGAAGGTTCCAGGAAGCCTTGGTGCAAAGCCAAGTCAGGTCCAACAGGGTTCCGGAGAAGGTTCCGGAGAAGGTTCCGGAGAAGTTCCGGGGAAGGTTCCGGAGAAGGTCGGAGAGGCTTTGGTGCAGAGCCAGGTCAGGTTCAACAAGGTACCGGAGAAGGTTCTGGAGAAGGTTCCGGAGAAGGTCTGGGAGGCTTTGGTGCAGAGCTAGGTCGGGTTCAACAGGGTTCCGGAGAAGGTTCCGGAGAAGGTCTGGGAGACTTTGGTGCAGAGCCAGGTCAGGTTCAACAGGGTTCCGGAGAAGGTTCCAGAGAAGGTTCCAGGAAGCCTTGGTGCAAAGCCAAGTCAGGTTCAACGGGTTCCGGATAAGCCAAGTCAGGTTCAACGGGTTCCGGAGAAGGTTCCAGCGCTTGGCTTCTTAGCACGCTTCAGAAAGATTTGCAAAAAATAAAACGTTGCGACTGTTGGGGATACCACCGAAGCTTATTCATTTTTCAGGAAAACCATGACAAATGAGGAATTTGATACAATCGTAGTGTAGTGACCTTATTCGGACATGATGGACATGAGAGGTGAGCAAGTAGCATAAATGGATTCGAAAAAGCTACTTGCCATTTGTGCCGTCTTGAATGCAGCGACATGTATCTGTGGCGGAAATGTCACATGACCTTTCAAATCCTTTTTTAATATCTTTTAATGGGTTTTTGAATGTTTTTGATGATTCTGTGCTTTTGACCCTAAGGTGGTGGAAGTGGCCCCGGCTCGCATACACCCAGAGTTTCTCGATGAAACATGCATCCTTGTGGAACCTGGTGGTACTTCGTGGGGTGAGGAAAAGGAATGGAGTAGTTTTTTTCATGGTAGGGATTCCTCTAGAGAGACATTCACCTGAAATCTCCACTGTTTTCGACGGATAGCAGCCTCATCACTCATCATCCATGGGTCCATGCTCGATCTCAATTGATCTCAAGGCTTCGAAAGCGCATCACCGAGTGCGCTGTACGGCTGCTGCTCACCTGTCAATATCGTGGCGTGGGGTCTCCCAACGTGCCGCGTGCGCCGCATGTGGCACATGGTGAATTAAATTGTGACACATTCTGAAACAGGGATGAAGAGATCGATTGTAAGCAAGTTCTATATAATTTTCACCACCTTTAGCTTAAGATGTGAGGGCAATTTCAGCTGAATTTTGAAATCCCAATTGTTGGTTGAAAAGTTGAAACAGTAACTAAGCTTTTAGTAATTGAGATATGAGATACATTGAGATGCTTCAAAAATCAAATGCAATATATGCAATGTACAATTCTTGCGAATTCTGCCATCTGATCTGCAAGCCACTTCGTTCGGAGGTGGGCACCGTTGAGTTCATGGTGGCAGGAAGCCTCCAGGATCCAGATGCACGCTTTGTCTTCATGGAGGCGTCGGATCTGTGTTGGATCTGTGGGCATCCCCGACTAATGGTCTAGTCATGTCTAGGCATGTGGAAACACGTCTCAGTTTGAAAAAAAGCATCGCGGCATAATACGGCATCTGTGGCGAATCCCATCATGTTGCGAGGCCTCAACATGGATTTAGATCCAAATGTGTTGACAATTTGACAGAGTTTGCTTCAATTAGCATAGCAATTTGCAAAGAAATTTGCTTCTCTGTAGCAAGTCTTGCTGCGATTTCGATGTGAGGTGAACCCGCGAATCCAAGTGGAGCACACCATCACCGAGGAGGCCGTGGGGACAGATCCACCGGAGATCCACCGGAGAGCCTGAAGTGGTTTTGGTATACGGTATACGGTATACTTCGGTATCCATGAGGGTATTGGTCCTAATCTGTGGAGTGGCGCGCAGCTTCAATTTTGTGTAGACAATTCGAAAAACGGTATGAAAGCCTCGAAACCCATCCAAATCCATCCATTTTGGATGCAAATCTTCGAGTCTTGTGAGTCATTGAAGGCCACAGATGTGGACATTGTGAAGACGCAGCTGGGCATCGCAGGAGGCTTCAAGTTGGAAGAGCTCGGTCTCAGCCCAGGTGGGGTGACCCGGGCGACCGGGTATCTACATGATTCTAAATGTATCTAAAATGTTTGAGTATGTTTGAGTATCTAAGGTCCAACAGATCACATCAGAAGCTGATCTGTTTTAGGCTGAAGGTATTGACTGGTGAAATCATTTGAAATCCAGATGGTCATGACATGTCGCACATGTCGCATGTTGGGCATCCTGGGCATCCTGTGAGGAGCAAATCTGGAGGCCTCCCAGCTGCGAGGCTTCGCCATCCAGGCACGTGTCTCCCTGGCACCAGGCGCCGAAGCCAGCGGAGCCAGTCTTCGGTTTCTCTCGGTTTCATGCTTCACAATTTGCGGACAACACATGGGATATTTAGGATACTTTTGGCGTGAGTGGATGCTGGATGCTCTTGGAGTATCTTGGAGTTGCAGTTTTGGATAGTTTTGGAGTGGCTGCCAGGTGGCAACGAGGTCTCCAAGTATGAAGAACCAAGTGGCGAGGGTGTGCGTGTGGATGCAGCCCTGTATGCTGGTGGAAAGCCGAGCATGCACTACGTTCTCTCCGGCATGTCTTCAAAACTGCAACTGCAATGGCCCGTGTGTCCTGTGTCAGCGAAATGAGTTGGCTGTGCGAGCTGCCATGCTCCGTGCCAGGACCCACTGGTTGGGAAGCTGATTTGCTATGCACCTGGGCAAGGCAATGCTAGCTGTGCGTGCAGTGACCCCAAAGTCACTATTGGGACCATTGCAACCTTCATGCCCAATGGTGCGAATTATGTCGATGAATCTGCATTTTGTATTATCTGTATTGATCTGTCACACTGCGTGGACCTATGATTCCTATGTGATTCCTATGCGATTTTTATGGATCCATATGAACACGTCCAAGAAATTCTATGATCCGCGCAGGGGATGATGCCTTCCAAGCCAGTCGTGAGCGGACCATCACAGCCCTGGACTCCTACGTCATCGATGGTGTCAGGGTCCTGGAGATGGAGAGGTTGGTGAAGGTTGGTGAAGGTTGATGGTTGAGGTTGCTCATCCTGATGGGACAGATGGCAATCTCGCTCAAGACCGTCGCACTGTTGGATTCTGAACCTTCAACTATTTGGGTTTGGATTTTGAACTCTCAACTGTTCGATCTGGCGAAGGATATACTACAGTGGCGCTCGTGTGGCATACACCTGCCGCATGTGGGCCAACTTTCTTAAAACTCCCTTAGAAGAAAAATAGAAACCAGCCAAATGGGTATGTCAAAAATTCGGGAACCTCAAAACAGCTTAGTTTCCCCTTCCCGAACAAACCACTACAGACATGGAGCTCAATGGTTGTCACCACTCTGAGGTAAACACCAACAAGCCAACTCTCAGGGGTATTCTGCACCACCCGGAGTTCATCAACAACGAGGCATGAAGAGATGGTTCATGGGCTCTCTCGATGGGTTTGTGGGATCATTATGGATCATTGGAATTAGGAGCAGCAGGTGTCTATGTGACTATTTTGTTCCTGTCCCAATCTACACTTTAAACATCTTTAAACTCTCTCAGCACTCAGCGTTCGCCTCGCTTTGACTGTCAAAATTGGATATCGATTGACTGCAAGGTCTTGCTGTCCTTCATGGCTCGCCATGGTGCCACCTTGGCTGGTGGCAGCAGCGCACCAGTGGCTAAAGGTGCCGGATGGTGCCAGTGCAAAGATATGCAAACACTCTGAGACGCGTCCGCCTTGCCTTTTATGCCTTTTTGATCCTTTTTGTTCACTTTGAGATGCAAAAGCCACGCATTTTGACATATTTTGACCCACATCCGACCTCATTTGACAACAACCATCCCATTCTCCAGAAACATTTGCACATCGAAAGTTCCAGAATCGTCCGTTTTTCCTCGCAGCCGTGTAACACATTGTGACACATTGTAACATATTGTAACCATTCCATTGATTTACAATGTGTATTACATTGTGTAAATCATGATCGGTGCAGGCGAGATGAAGCCGGTGAGATCCTCAGACAGATCTTTTTAGCTTCCGTTGGCTCATCGTTTCAGCATCGCCATTGTTCGCAGTACTTGGTAGCTGGCAACCGTTTGTTGTCCAAACTAGCGATACAACGATAACCAGTATGATTCAGTATGATCTGAACTAGGTTTTCAACTGTAAAATCACCAGCTTTGGACGCACTATTTCCAACCAGTACTGTAACACAACTAAGTGAAGACCCTTTAAGATCCTTCAAGATCCACAGCTTGAAACAGCTTGAAGCACAGCTTGAAGCAGAAATCTGTACAGCGAGAAACAGAGCGCTGTTCACGGATTTGGCGCCGCTGTGTCAGATGTATCCGACTGTTCCATGCCTTGTTCGGCTCGTTCCATGCTCGGATCGGAGGCAGCGCTTCGGCGCCAGCAGCTGCCCGTGACCTCCCCTTTGGAGGCCACGGTGGTGCGCAGCTGTGTGACCGAAGGCGCCGAGGTGCACCGTCCAACGAGAATGCACCCTTGAATTTAGATGGCTTTTGATACATTTTTGATAGTTTTTTGATATTTTTGGATACGCTTTTCCAATTTGTTCTCTGTTTTAGGTAACTCCTGAAACCTGTTAAAACCACGAGTCTGTTTGAGGAATGACTGACTTTGGGACTTGCTTCAGTCTATCAGAAATGAGTATTCCGGTATTCCCGCTTAAACTTGGGATCAAAGACATCTCATATAACTTCCGTTATTTTAATTTGGACAAGTAAGCCATCGAAGCTATCGGTTGATTTCGATGCTTTTGGGCTACAGGAGAACCTGCACCACTGCACCGTTACCGTTGTGCGAAATGCGGAATCTTCAAGACTCAGCAGTCCACAGTGCCTCTTGCAGGTAGAGGAGGGTCAACTCTTGGTACTTCTCTCGGCCATGAAACTTGAGACGGAGGTCTGGTCCGGGGCCTCGCTGGTTTGGAACTACCCTTTGAGATATTTTGATATAATATAATATAATATATATATATACATGTAAATGTAAATGTATATCATGTATGTACATATTTATTGATATACTGATATACTATAAAGCTGTGACCGACTGACCGTTTCATTCCGTTTCTGATCTTGAAAGGTGCGCGCGCCTCACGCTGGCACAGCTCACACCTCAAGGGTTGTCACGTTCGCAAGGCTTGCCTTTGTACAACTAGGTGCATGGCATTTTGATGTACAACTAGCACTAACTAGCAACCGTTGCAGCTTGGATTTGTAACGGTTTGCATCAATGATCATCAATGGTCGCTGGCACACAGGGAAGAACAACAATCCATGCAAATCCATGAAATCCGGTCCAAGAGATGGCTTGGCAAAACTTTACGCAGCAGGTTATCTCTCAGCGAGAGACCTCAGGTCTTGAAAGTGGCGGTGCAAGACAATGAGACCGTGTCGTCTGGACAAGATCTCGTCGTCAGGACCCCTGTCCTGAGAGGGGTCAGACTTTTGCTGAGTTTGCAGTGATTGAACATAATTTGCTGACTTGACTTGCCGAAATCGATCAAAATCGTGTAGAGATAGTCAGATAATCTTGGAATATCTTGGACTTGCAACCTGAAGTTTCTGGTTTTGAAGGAATGATCCCATTTTTTTCGTTACCCCTGGGCTGCTCTGAAATCTACTGCAGGAAGTGCTTTGCATATCTTTGCATCACCGGTGTCACCAGGTCTTGGATGCTTTGGTGCCTGAAGAAGGCCAAGGTGCAGCTGCAACAACAGCAGCTGCAGCTGCAGCGAATCGCGTCCGTGTAGGCTGGAACTGAGATTTTGCCAATGTTAGGGATAGCAGCAACAAATTGGACATAGGATGACATAAGCAGTTTGCTTTTCGGTTTCACCCCAAATTTTCCTAATGTGCGGGAGTTTCTCCCCATTTTTTGTGCCCAAGACAGATGACCTCAGGTGGCCTCGCCAGCATTGATGGCTCCGCTGTTTGGTACGGCAAGACCAGTGGCGACTTGGACATCGACCGTCTGCCATGATTTGGAACGAGTTGCAACATGTTCATTAAAGATCAAATGGGAATTGAAGAGTTGCAACAGGGAAAAAAAGTCATTATTCATGAGTCGGCTCCGGTCATTGAGTCTTTTTTTATCATCTGCCTTTCAAGGTGTGAAGCCCTGTGAGGGTCCCAGCCACAGCAGCATACGCCTGCCGCCTCCTCGCACACATGAAGAGGACTATCTCTAGCACTTGGGGTTGGAGCATGTCGGAACCGCATTGAAAAAATATCAGACCCTTGGAAACATCGTTGGATCTTCGCATAACCAGCTAATTTCAGAGGTTCCAACGCTTGGGAGTGATGCAGATTGATATAGGCAAAGTCTTAGGTTGTCTCCTTTACGCAATCTGTATGCAATTTTCAGAAGCTCGGGAAACATGATGACAAAGCTCTGATGTTTCTGCACCAGGGCTATGTCCAGCGAACTGTGCACCACACCGCGTTGTTGGCAGAGCTGCAACAGCGTTTGGATGTGGTCCGTGCAGGTGGAGGTGCATGGTGCATCCTGGTGCATCACGTGACGGGAATGAACACATGCCTCCGATATCCGATGTTTGATTCATTTGATTCATTTGATTCATTTGATTTATTTGCAGATTATATCAGGTTACTGTGTTCTGTTCTAAATGAGGCCGGACAACCATGGATTCAAGGGTTACCAATCATCTTTGCGTATTTTTAGCATGACTGTTTTAGTTTGTTCAATGAAGGACGCTTGCTCCGCTTTGTGTGAGACCATGTGAGACCTACATTTGGGTACAGTACCCAAGCAACAGGTGCGAAGGCAGTCGAACAGCACCACGGCCGCGGCAAGGCGGTCACTCCAAAGCCATGGCCATGGAGCATCCACGGAATCCACGTAATCCACGGGGCATCGCATCAGATGCTTTGGACCCAACGTTTGCCCCGTGAATCGCAGGCGCTTCCTCGTGAACGTATCGAAGCCATTCTGGAGCGTCGCGGGATGACGTTTCCTTTTGAGAGAGAGTGTGTCTGCGCTTCAACAGTTGGGGGTTAGTCACTTCTGTCAAAGGTTGCGCAGTTTAGGGAATTCTGACAGGATTCTAAGAGGATTCAGGGACATCCTAAGACTATTCTAAGATATTCTAAGATATTCTAAGATTCAATTACTGGAGCTTTTTGGATGCTTTTTGAGCTTCCAGGACCCAGGCAGCAAGTTCCTGGAGCTCTCGCCATTGGCCGGCTATGATCTTTATGATGGCAGCGCCCACTCAGCAGGCGTGCACTTGAGAAGGCAACATATTGCGAACATTGTAGCAGCATCTATTCATAAATATTCATAAATATTCTGTTCATATCTATTCTATATCTATTCTGTTCATATCTTCATTGGATACCGCTTTGTACCATACTCAGCCTGTAGCTTGTACATTCCGATTGCAACAATCTGGGGATTGTCACGGCTTGTCACGGCTTGTCACGGCTTGTCACGGCTTGTAACTGTTTTTGTCATTGTAGGTATTGTCACTGGCATTGGCCTTGTCCATGGGCGAGAAGTACTCTTTGTGGCCAACGACGCCACAGTGAAAGGCCGGCTGTTCACAGTGGACACATTTCATGAAAGCCAGCTTCTGCTGGATTAAACTCCGCTTCAGCAACTACGGCTCAGCAACTACGGCTCAGCAACTACGGCTCAGCAACCACGGCTCAGCAACCACGGCTCAGCAACCACGGCTCAGCAACCACGGCTCAGCAACCACGGCTCAGCAACCAAACTAGGTTCTCGCTTCAGCAACTACGCTTCAGCAACTACGGCTCAGCAACCAAAATCTACTCTCGCTTCAGCAACCAAACCTCAGCAACCAAAACCCACCCCCTCCGGCAAGTACATGCACTGTCTCATCTTCCACGTCATATCAAAATCCCACCCCCTCTGGCAAGTACATGCACTGTCTCATCTTCCACGTCATATCAAAATCCCACCCCCTCTGGCAAGTACATGCACAGTCTCATCTTACACATCATATCAAAATCCCACCCCCTCTGGCAAGTACATGCGCTGTCTCATCTTACACATCATATCAAAATCCCACCCCCTCTGGCAACTACATGCACAGTCTCATCTTCCACGTCATATCAAAATCCCACCCCCTCTGGCAAGTACATGCACTGTCTCATCTTACACGTCATATCAAAATCCCACCCTCTCTGGCAAGTACATGCACAGTCTCATCTTACACGTAATCTCAAAACCCCACCCCCTCTGGCAAGTACATGCACAGACTCATCTTACACATCATATCAAAATCCCACCCCCTCTGGCAAGTACATGCACTGTCTCATCTTACACGTCATATCAAAATCCCACCCCCTCTGGCAACTACATGCACAGTCTCATCTTCCACGTCATATCAAAATCCCACCCCCTCTGGCAAGTACATGCACAGTCTCACCTTACACGTCATATCAAAATCCCACCCCTCTGGCAACTACATGCACAGTCTCATCTTCCACGTCATATCAAAATCCCACCCCCTCTGGCAAGTACATGCACAGTCTCATCTTACACGTAATCTCAAAATCCCACCCCCTCTGGCAAGTACATGCACAGTCTCATTCTTACACGTCATATCAAAATCCCACCCCCTCTGGCAAGTACATGCACAGTCTCATCTTACACGTCATATCAAAATCCCACCCCCTGTGGCAAGTACATGCACAGTCTCACCTTACACGTCATATCAAAATCCCACCCCCTCTGGCAATTACAAGCACAGCCACATTTTACACGTCATATCAAAATCCCACCCCCTCTGGCAAGTACATGCACATTCTCATCTTCCACGTCATATCAAAATCCCACCCCCTCTGGCAAGTACATGCACAGTCTCATCTTACACATCATCGAAGGAAGTTTAGAAGTCAAACTTCCGACAATATGGACAGATGAAAAGCAGAGCAGGGCAGAGGCAGAGAGAAGAGAAAGATTAGAAGAGAGAAGATCAGAAGAGAAAGAGTCAGAAGAAAGAAGATGCAGGTGCGCGAAAAGGTCGGAAAGTCGCGAAACACTGTGTCTTTTGGTGGTTTTGTGGCTCCGGAGTCCGGAGGGTTGAAAAGTAGGCTCGCTAAAGCGGCGGATGAGAGATGAACAATTGCACGCCGTTGTGGCGCGAAGCACATTTCGAAGTCAAAATGTACAAAACAGACCAGGTCCGGACCACTTTTGGCAGTTGAGATGTCGAAAAAGTGCACGCCGTTGTGTGGCGCGAAGCACATTTTGAAGTCAACATGTACAAAACACACCAGGTCCGGACCACTTTTGGAAGTTGAGATGTCGAAAAAGTGCACGCCGTTGTGGCGCGAAGCATAGTTGACGGAGCATAGTTTACGGATCTTGGTTTACGATCCATAGTTTACGAACCGTGGTTTACGAGTCATGGCCGTCTTGGTTTACGAATCATGGTTTACGAGCCATGGTTTACGAGTCATGGTTTACGATCCATAGTTTACGAGCCATGGTTTACGAGCCATGGTTTACGATCCATAGTTTACGAGCCATGGTTTACCGAAGCAGAAGTCAACCGCTTCTGCTGTACCTGCCAAGCTTTCGTCCCTTACCCCTGGGCCTCAAGTTTTTCATTCAAGGCGGCTCGTTTTTAAATGTTCCACCTGTTTTCCAAAGTGAGTCCGGTGCACAGAATGCACTGCCCAAGGTGGTATGTATTATCCCATGACGGTGAAGAAGCACTTGAGAGCACAGCAGATCGCCATGGAGAACAACTTGCCCTGCGTGTATTTGGTGGACTCTGGCGGTGCATACCTGCCTTTGCAGGATGAGGCCTCTCCGCACTTTCTCGGTAGTACTTGGCAGACGAATCCTGAACTAGGGGAACTTCCCAAGGCAAGTAGTGGTACAAAGATGTGCAAAGATGTACAACAAAGTACAACCTTGTTAGTCCTTGCTGTATTTGAAGCTGTCACTGGCTCTCACCATTGTGTCAGCAAATGGCTGGATTTTTGATCTGGCAACAAGAGTGGGAGCTGTCGTGCGTTCACCACATTTCACTGAATTTCACCATATTCTTCTCATCATCCAGGTTGATTGCGACCGTAGGAAGCAAGCCACTCACTCCAGGTTTTCCCTGACAGAATGCACTTTGGCCGCATCTTCTACAACCAGGCGCGGTTGGCCACGTGCACCCGGTTTGATTTCTGGTTTGAGTGCTGAGTTCTCAATTTTTGGCAAAGACATTTCAGCCACTGGCGTCCTTCAGGCACAGATGTCCAAGAAGGGCTTGCCACAGGCCACGGCCATGCAATCAACACCAGACAGTCCTATGCCCATGTCCTACTATGTTAGCTGATTGGCATTTAGAACAGGCAATCACACTTGCTTCAACACATCGCACAGTTCTTCGATTCTTTCGGAATAAATTATGTTGCTCGAGGGGTCTCATCTTTTGTACTAGTATCAAGAGTTTTGTTACTGTTTTTGGCAGGCACAGAATCAGATTTGCGTTGGAAGGTCTCAGCTGTGCTGGGCTCCTGTACAGCCGGTGGCGCATATGTTCCGGCACAAACCTTAGCTGCCTTAGCCAAGATCTGTAGCACAGCATAGGAGAAGCGCCACATTGAACAGACCTACAGCCAACAGATTTTGCTGAGCGTTGTGCCACCTAGCATCAAGTACTGCAAGGCCATGTCGGATGAGAATATCATTGTCAAAGGCGTGCTAAATTGGGCGCGCAGCAGAACTATCCATTTGATTGGGCTATCATTCCATACGTTAATAACTTATCATAGTTTAGTCTGAAAAGCTGATGAATCTCAAAAGGCCCAGACTAGATTAACGCAGGGACTCCCAGTCACCCATTGGCTTACCTTTCAAAATCAAACAATAATTCATGGATGCGGGATGGTTTTTGGTGCCTGACTCTCGAAACCATTTATTAAATCTATCCTTGTCTAAACTCTTCTTTGATCCTCGATTGCAATCTGAATATATTCCCAAATTCCTTTGACTTCATCGGCCATCCAATACTACCACCCATTTTGGCTATTTGGTTATATAAATATATCATGATCATCACGGTTCTGGCTACACTGTTGTCACACTGTTTCGATATGTTACAATGCGGTCCAGAAGTGTTTCGCTTTCAGGCAACGGCACCATCTTCTTGGGCGGGCCACCCTTAGTCAAGGCTTCCACTGGCGAGGAGGTCTCTGCCGAGGCAATGGACGGAACCAATGAACGACCAGGTCCAGCTATGTCCAGCTATGTCCAGCTATGTCCAGCTATGTCTAGCTATGTCCAGCTATGTCCAATGGATGGATATATGATATATGTGTTGCATCATGTTGCATCATGTTGGGTTGACGGGGGGGTTGCCCCGCTTTCACCCGTCTTGTTTCGTCTGTTTGTCAAATGCAAAGTGCACATGATCAAACATGAGCGTTTCGTTGTGGCGAAATGGCCATTTTCACAGATGTCTGTGATGTGCAATGGATGTCAGTTCTGCTTAGCGGTGTCAACATAACTTTCGATTTTTCAAAATTATGGAAGTTCGGAGCAACCCTTACAGGGGTTTGTGGGGGCGATACGTTGGCATTTTGAGCTTTTTTTTCACTTTTCACGTCATCCACGAGGCATCTTCAAAACACTTGACATGAGCAAAAGCCGTCATTGTCGCTTCCAGGCCTAAGTTCTTGTGAATGTATAGTGCTGACAAACCATCCACGTTAACACATACACACCCCACCCCAACCCCAACCCCAACCCCGAAGACGTCCTTTGCGTAGCATGCACATCGAAAGCAAGTGCACACGAACTTTAACACAGACCCCGCCCCACCCCCCAACACCCCAAAGCAACCGAGTAAAAACGGGGCAAAACCCCCGTCTACCCATCATGTTGCATCTTTGACACATTTTTTTTTATAGAGATTGAAGAGTAGCCATGCTTTTCCACATTGGCACACATGTCTTCAGAGGGAGTTGGAAGCACCCTTCAAAAGGCAGATTATGAGGCTTACGCCTGACAGCCGGGCGCCGGCAAAAGCAGACCCGTCAGCCCGAGCGGGCGTTGGTGGTGTTGTTGTTGTTGTGGTGGTGGTGGTGGTTGTTGTTGTTGTTGTCGTTGTTGTTGTTGCTGTTGCTGTTGCTGTGGTTGTTGTTGTTGTTGTTGTTGCTGTTGTTGTTGTTGTCGTTGTTGTCGTGGTCGTGTTTTTTTTTTTGTTGTTGTTGTTGTTGTCGTCGTTGTTGTTGTCGGTGTTGTTGTTGTTGTTGTCGTTGTTGTTGTTGTTGTCGTTGTTGTCGTGGTCGTGTTTTTTTTTGTTGTTGTTGTTGTCGGTGTTGTTGTTGTCGGTGTTGTTGTTGTTGTTGTTGTTGTTGTTGTTGTTGTTGTTGTTGTTGTTGTTGTTGTTGTTGTTGTTGTTGTTGGTGCTGCTGCTGCTGCTGTTGTGTTTGTGGTTGTTGTTGTTGTTGTTGTTGTTGTTGTTGTTGTTGTTGTTGTTGTTGTTGTTGTTGTGGTTGTTGGTGTTGTGGTTGGGTATGTTCTTCTTGTTGTTGGGGGTGTTGTTGTTGTTGTTGTCGTTGTTGACGCTACGTTGCAGGCAACGCGGGGGATAGGACAACAGTCGGGTGGAAGACGGGGGCCGGGACTTCGGGCGTCCCGGCAGCATCCTTCGGTGGAAGGGGGCTGACAGCCCGGGTGTACCCTAGGTGCACCGAAGTCGGGAGAGCCGTCTGAAACAAGAAGAGCCGCTGTTGGAGTTTTTTTTTTTTGCTTCGCATCGCCACGAAGAAAGTTGTGCACAAGCTCAGTGAGTGTGTAGCCATTGTGGGGCGGTTGCCGAAAAACGTGAGACACATTGCGGTGTGCAAACCGTAGCCGCATGTCGGTGAGGTCAAACCCTGGGACCATGTGCCCCCACTTCTCTGATGGGCAGCCAGAAGGATGCAAAATGTCAATTTGTTGCCAGAAATGTGTCAGCACATCCCGCAAGAGTGTTGCGTTGATGGGATGGATCTCCTGCTTGGACTCGGAACCAGCATCGAGCATAGAAAGATTTCCAAGCTGAGGATTGTTGTTTTCTATGCTTGCAGAGTCTGGTAACACCAGAAGGGTGGGATATGAAGAAACATTTCTAGTGTGAAGATGACGTTGTCTGTGCCTTCGGACGTTAGTATCATCAAAGCAGCGCGCAGCTGCGCACGAACATGTATGAAACTAAGGAACCACCTATGTTTGGACTTATACCGTATACCAGCCAGTTATGGTAAATTTGGGACTGGTTTAGTTTGTTATGATTGCAATGGTCTAGCATATAGTCGGTTCGCCGCAGACGGTTCGTTGTTTTAAATGTTTTCACCGAGGCAACAATGTTGGATGGGTAGAAGTTAGCAAGTGGAGGGGTACAGAGTTACGAGGGGCAGTGATGGGTAGCCAACATGCTTGTTAACCATACATGGCAGCATCCCCGTTTGCAACCTTATTGGTTATCAGTGTTTAGTGTGGTTAGAGACGATCAAAGGCATTCGGAAACCACGGCCATGTCTGCGTCTGTCTGACGCGTACAGGGCGGGAGCGAGCGCAGAGCAGCGCTCAGCGCTGGCAGCGGCGGTGGTTTAGGGCTGCAGCTTGGTGAAGAAAGGCGCGGCGTGGCCGGTCGCTACAGTGCAGCGTAGTCGAACACGACATCGAGGTAGGTGTCGTGCCGGCTGGAACGGCGGTGCTTGGGAGGGAGTAAATTAAGGGATCGGTGCTTTGTTGCTGGTTTGTGGATAGCTTATGGACGGTAAAATTGGTGGCTTCTTCGACAACCGATGCAGTCTTTTAGGTTCAGAAGTCGTTACTGCAAGGAGTCTTTTTTCCCAAGCTGCAGCTCTACATCAGGCTCACAGCAGCCCGCGTTCATTAAACATCCAGCCATCCCCCTTTTTTTGTGGCTTTGGTTTCCCCGGTTTTTCGTGTTTGATCGAGAACATGCCTGTAAGCAACCTGTGGTTCCAAGCTGTAGGTCGGCAGTGTGCTTTTTGCAGACGGTCGCATTCAGACTTCTTGCGTTTTGGTGACAGGAGTTCGAAGGCGAGTCCGGCGTGTTTGCTGGCGGCCTGGCATGTTTGTGGTAAGCCAGCATGTTTGGAGTCCGCAGTGGCTCGTGTCTCCGACATGTTTGCGATGGCATGTTTGTGGTCAGCCAGCATGTTTGGAGCCCGCAAGTGCTCGTTTCTCCGACATGTTTGCGATGAGTAACGGCTCGCTTAAGAGAGACTGGAGGGAACTGACTGCCAGAGTACAGAACTGACGCGACTGCAGCAGCACTGCATTAGGATGACTGCTGAAAACTGATCGCGTGACTGCTGAAACATGGTGACAGGTCCTCTGGGGGCGACTCCGGCAAGTTTGCGGGTGGCCCGGCTATTTTGTCGAAGCTCGCTTAAGAGAGACAGGAGGGAACTGACTGCAAGAGTACAGAACCGACGCGACTGCAACAGCACTGCGTTAGCATGACTGCTGAAAACTGACCGCGTGACTGCTGAAACATGGTGACAGGTGCTCTGGGGCGACCCCGGCAAGTTTGCGGGTGGCCTGGCTAGTTTGTCTCAGCTCGCTTAAGAGAGACCGGAGGAAACTGACTGCAAGAGTACTGAACGATATACTTATATAGATCTATAATGATCTATATATGAAAAAAAAATATATATATATATATTTTTTTTCGTTTGGAACTGAAGAAGCTTCAACAAACATCCCAGCAAGTTCTTCAAAGACACAGAGGGGGCGAAACTTTGAACAGGGGACAGCAAACACCGCCACTGGTAAACAAATTAGGGCACACAGTCTCTCCGCGGCCGTTGCGACAAGGCTCTAGGCTAAGCAAAGAAAGCCGACAGAGAAGTAAACACACACACACACACACCCTCCACGAACGGAAGTAGGAGACGTAGGCGTAGGAAGTCTAAAACCGGAGCACTGCACAACTAAAAAATGAGTGGAACACTTGCAGGTGTGCTTGTACAAGCAACGTAGCAAGGACGAAATGAAGCACGCCACCTCAGACAACGAATTCGGAACGCACGATTGTCCCAAAGCGGAAAGCCATGACACAGTGGGATGCCATAGCCAGTGATATACTGCGTGAGCATGCTACCAAGGTAGCCGTCTGCTGCATAGCACTGAGCATGGTGTTCTGGCTTGCCTCCCAAGTCAAGAAGCATTGTTGGGCGCGGCGGCAGTCAGTGCAGGCTGCGTGTGGCAAGGGGTCGCGCAACCGAGCCAGCAAGCACACACACTGGACTCGGAGGTTGCCGGGGAAATATACATCTTTGAGCTGGGGCATGGCAGTCACCGCAGCATGCTTGTGTGCCAGCACAAAGCAGCTAGATTTCCTGTTTGCAGTAAATCTCTTCACCTGTGTCTTTGCATGCCAAGCGCAACGTGCTCTAGCCAGTGCACGACTGCGCAGTGGGTGGGTCAGGAAAGCACGTCGGGTGGGCAACGCTCGGGTGAAAGCAAGGCGGCAACCAGGATCGCCACGAAGTAGAATGCAAATGTTGATTGCAGCCATCTTCTTGTTATCACCAGCCAGTTGGGTCTGTGTGGAATGCGTCTGCCAGGGAAACATCGCAGCAGTGCAACCAGTCAGAAACGCATGGTCAACCTCTCGCAAACTTAGAAACCAGTTGATGCGGGCAATGCATGGCAACACGATGAAGAAAGCCAACAGACGACAAGCAGAAGAGTCCACACCCAGCCAATGCATAGACACGAGTGCCGGCAGCAATCACGTAGCTAGCAAGAAAGCTAGAGTTGCAGACGTAGTGGATGCCGCATCCTCGCTTCGAGCACAACCTAGCAACCCGAGTGTCCAGAAAGAAGTGGAGGAGGATGAGGACCGGAAACTTGCCGTCCGTGTGCAGACCCGAATAGGGTGTGAGCTAATCAAAATCCCTGGTGACGGTTGGTGTTTTTTCCATGCCGTACTTCGCCATTGTTGCGGTTGGCAGGCGTGGTCGGTATCCGAAGCTGCAAAGTTATACTTGCAAGCCTTAGAATGGATGTGTAAGCAAAAGAATGGACCCAGAGCAGATGAGGTTGCGATTGCCAGTGTGCCGTTTGATGACCGAGAAGCAGGCCTACACCTGGGGTTCCTTCAGCAAGCAGAGCAGTTGGAGGCAGCAGAAGGTTTGACAGCTGCCGAAATCGTGCTTTGGAGTAAAGTGGTGGCGGTTTTGGAAAAGCCACGGATGTTAGATTCCATTCACCATGGCTCCGTGGTAGAATTGTGGGCACTGACACAAGCCTTTGACTTTCACTGTCTCATTTGGAGCCAAGAAGAGAACAAAAACATTTGGATCCGGGACATGGCCTACATCACCGATGCAGAAACACAACAGAAGTTGCAAGAACATCCCAATGTCTTAGAACTTTTCCACCGAAACACTGGCATCACCGGGCACTATGATCTCGTCCAACGCGCGGCAGCATTGCGCGAACCATTCCCTGAAACACCATGGTTGGAAACATGGAGAACAC